GGACACTTGAGCAAAAGCATCTTCTTTCCAGGTATCAATGTGGTTTCCGCAAATTTCACAGCACAAATGATAGCATTGCCTTTCTCGAAAATGAAATTCACAATAGTTTTGAACGAAGTGAGCATGTAACAGCAATATTTTTGGATCTAGAAAAGGCCTACGATACCACATGGCGATATGGTATCCTCAAACAATTGTTTGAGTGGGGTTTCAAAGGAAACTTGCCGTTATTTATAAAAAGTTTTTTATCCCTTAGATATTTTGCAGTGAGAATAAACGGAAAATTGTCTATGCTAAAAGTTCAGGAAAACGGAATACCACAGGGGTCGACAATAAGTGTCACCCTGTTTGCAATAGCCATAAATAGTATAGTGGAACAAATTACAGGACCGGTGAAAAAGTGCCTATATGTGGACGACCTGGTAATTTTTTGCTCAGGAAAAACAATTGAAAGAATAAACGAAAACCTGCAGAAGACCATAAATAACCTAATAGGTTTTTCGGAAGCACGCGGCTTTAAATTTTCAACTACAAAGACCAGTAGCGTGCATTTCTGTAAGAAACACCGGCATGAACAACCAGAGCTACGGATGAGGAATGTACCAATTCCATATAAGGACAGTGTTCGTTATCTAGGAGTATATTTTGACCGGAAATTAACTTTCCGCGATCATATTGGAGCCCTTGCTGTCGAAGCTAAAAAACGGCTAAACTTAATTAAATGTTTATCCAACATCGTCTGGGGATCGGACAGAGAGGTCTTGATTAGTTTGCATGAGAAACTGATTCTATCAAAAATGGATTATGGATGTATAGTTTATTCAGGAGCAGCTAAAACAAATTTACGAATTCTGGACACTATAAATCATACTGGAATACGATATGCGACAGGGGCTTTTAGGACAACTCCAGTGCACAGTTTATACTGTGACGCAGGAATTGCGCCACTACAACTACGGCGTAAAAGGATACTACTGAATTATATAGCAGAATTAAGGGCAAAACCGAAGCACATAACATACGAAACCTTCTATGACGTAATCGACTCCCACCTGGATGTACACCAACGAAGACCGCCGATAATGCGATCATCGGCTGAAAGGGCGCGGTTATGGGTGGAGAATCTTGATATAAATTTAAGCTCCGTTTGTACAATTGATTTGTATAAGATCCCACCGTGGGTAATCCCCGAAATCAAAATTAAGACAGATTTAATGAAATACAAAAAAAGCGAGACGAATAGTATTATATACCAAGAGACCCTAAAGGAAGCACTATACAGTCACCATAAACCAGATGTCATATACACAGATGGCTCAAAAACCAACGACGGCGTTGCATGTGCTATATATACCAACATGCAGGCACAATCATGGACATTATCGAAGGAGACGTCGATAGTCTCGGCAGAATTACAAGCTATCTGGCAAGCGCTAATATACTATATAAATAGCAACAGCTCAAACACATTGATCATTTGCACAGATTCCCGAAGTGCAATTGAGCGAATACAAAATGTATATACAACTGACAATATGACATATAGCATTATAACTTTAATAAATGAAATCAGTAAAGATGGAAAACAGATCTATCTCATGTGGACGCCGGGCCATACTGGCATAGGAGGTAACGAGAAAGCGGATAAAGCGGCAAAGGAAGCAACGAAGTACTGTAGTACGCTCACACAAATAAATGTCCAAGATAAAAAATCCTATATAAAACACTTATGCATACAGGAGTGGCAGAAGCTATGGAGTGAGACCAGATCGCACTTAAAACAAATAAAACATACGGTAGACAAATGGTATCTGCCAAAAGAATTATCTAGACAAGAACAAATTGTAATAACAAGGTTAAGATTAGGGCATACGAGAATAACATCTGAATACCTAATAAAAAAAGAACAGGAACCGCAATGCAGCAGCTGCAAAACGCGGTTAACAGTACAACACATACTAAATGAGTGCAAGATATTCGAACAGCAAAGGAAAAAATGCAAACTACCAGCTACGTTAAGAGAAACGCTAACAAATGATGAAAATCTCAAAAGGCGCACAATATTATATATAAAAATGACCGGATTTATGAATAAAATTTAGAATGC